TTTGATGTTACTTTTTTTTTGGGTGGTGAGGCAATTGGGGTTAAGTAACTTGCCCAGAGTCACATAGCTAGTGAGTGCTATGTGTCTGAGGATGGATTTGAACTCAGGTCCTCCTGACTCCAGGGCTGGTGCCCTATCCACTGCACCACCTAGCTGCCCCTAATGTTACTTCTCGTACATAAATCATTATTGACAATGTGCTGCAGCTTGCTCAGGTCCACCATGTATCTTATCTATTGATTGTCTCTGGATCAACTGAACTTTAGATTCTTGGTACATTTTGGTGTTTCATGATTTATATCCATATGACATTACCAGGAGAAATCTGGTGTCAAATATATTAGTCTTTGGGATCATTGAAAGCACAGAATAATAAGTGGTTCTATGATATTTGTTCCCCCTAGCCCCTCAAGGTTGCTTCAAAGATCAAATGAGATAATGCGTAAAGAGCTTTGAAGACCTTGAAGCCTGTTTAGGTGTAAGCCATTATTGTTAGGGAGTCTTTTGAGCTTTCAGAGATTATAGGCATCAGAAGGCTGGTCAAGGATCTTTCATATCTTCAGAGAAGCAAGGGCGTTCCTAAAGGAGAATGTCAGGACTGGGGTGCCTCTGCAATCTAAAACCCTTTCATTAGGAATATAGTTATTGGCTCACCAGACAGAGCCAGTCTCATTATTTGATAATCCAGCCACAGGCCAGCATTTAACGAGGCTTTCATCTATCTAGTACTTTAGATATAGTCCCATTTTGGCAGCAGAGAACTAGACTTGATGATGTCTGAAGGCCCCTTCCAAATATGTTATTTTATAATTCTATGGTAGATAATTTTATATTTCAATCCTGCTTCAGGGAAGATTTCATATAATGGAGTGATGTGAATGGAAAGTTACCCTATCTGACCCTAATGGCAGTGAGAACTCCACTCTCAAGTGGATAAAAGTACCCTTTGAGTTATTAAAGTATTTTACTACCTTGAAGAGATAATCTCCTTTCGATTTTGCTGTCTCAGAGAGCATAATTCCTTGAGTATCTCCTTAGGCATTATGGTATAGTGGAAAGGACACTGAATCTAAAGACTGAAGGCATGAAGATGTGCCGTTTACTCCCTATGTGACCTTGCACAAGAGATTTTCCCACTGGTCTTCATCTACAAAATGAGCTGATTGAATTAGCATCATAGATACAGGTGAAGAGACCTTAGGCATCATTTGTCCAACTCAATTTAGTCAGTAGCAGAAGTAAAATTTAAATGTAGTTCCTTTTCTTCTAAACATCCCCATTTCCATCAGTGATTTCAAAGATCCCCTTCAGTTCTGCATCTTATATCCAGAACCACATTTTGTTGTTGTTGTTTTGTGGTTGAATGACTTGTCCAGGGTCACACAGCTAGTAAGTGTCAAGTGTCTGCAGAACCACATTTTGAAAAATACAAATTGGGATTGGTTGATTCAGGCAGTGACTGGGATGTCTGAGGAAAAGGAAGTGGCTGGTTGCTAGCTAGTCCCAAAGAAATCCTTCTACTCTAGGAATTCTTAACCTTTTTCGTATCATTGATTCTTTTGAAAGTCTGTAATGAACCCTTCTTCAGAATAAAGGTTTATAAATGCATAAGATTAAATAAATACAGTTACAAAAGAAACCACTTATATTGAAATTTAGTTTTGTTGTTCAGTCGTTTTTCAACGTGTCTGACTCTCTGTGATCTCATTTGAGGTTTTCTTGACAAGGATACTGAAGTGGCTTGCCACTTCCTTCTCCAGCTCATTTTACAGATGAGGAAACTGAGGCAAACAGGGTAAGTGACTTTCCCAAAGTCACACAGCTAGTAAGTGTCTGAGGTTGGATTTGAATTCAGGTCTTCCTAATTCTAGGCCCAGTACTCTATCCACTGTGCCCCAGTGTACCCACCCAGCTGCCCCAAAATGCAGTTACCAATATATTATTTTAGAAGAAGTTCATAGGCCCTAAGTTAAGAGCTCTTGTTTTAGTAGATATCAGCAGGTAGGGACTGGGGATGGCTGAAAAAAAAAATTCCCTTCCTCTTCTTTCCACGTACCTTTCTCAAGTTTCACTTTGCCCTTTCATGGTAATTTTTCCTGTTCCAGGTTATGTTTAGTTTTCATTTTGGCCATATTTAGGATGACAGGTTCAAATCTGGAAGTGATATTAGAAGCTATTTGGCGCAAGCCCCTCATTTGACAAATGAGGAAACTAAGGCACAGAGAGGTTAGGTGATTTGCCAGAGGTCACATTGGTGATAAGCATCCCATGGGGATTTGAACTCACCTCTTTTGGCTTCAATCCAGTACTGTTTCCATTCAACTATGTCATGTCGAATATGAACATCTAAGAAGTTGGGCAAGATCCTTACAATTTCTATTTGTCACAATCTGTCCCCAAATTATAGAAATAGCTATTAGCATGGTCTATAGAAAGGCTGGGCCTGGAGTCAGGAAGATCAGAGTTCAAATTTGGCCTCATACACCTACTAGTTGGGTGATGCTGGGCAAATCACTTAACTTTGATTTGTCTGTTTCCTCAGCTATAAAATAGGGATAATAATAGCACCTACCTCGAGGGGTTGTTATAAGAATCAAATGAGATATTTGTTTGTTTGTTTTTTTAAAGTGCTTAACACAGAGTCTTGGTACTGTGAGGGCACTGGTAGGCACTATATAAATGCTTATGCCCTCCCCTCTCTTCCTTCCAATCATAGCTACACACTGTTGAACCTCTTGTACCTCATACAGTGTCATAATTGCTTTCTGACTTTGTGACAAGTTATTAAAGCTTTGGAAGATTTATAGACCCAAAATTTCATCTCAGCTCCTAAAATAATGTTTTGGGTTTGTCTCACCCTCTTGCCATTGCCCCAGATTCTTACAGTAAGCTTTTTGTTTTCTAGTTTGGCTGGTAGAGGAAAGTAAAATGTGCAATCTGCCTTGTCTTAAGCAAATCATTTAATTTCTCTCAACGTCAGTTAATGAAAAATGAGGATAATAATGCATTATCTATTGTGGCATAGCTAATACAGGGTAGTTACAAGAATCAGAGTTGCATTCAAATGAACAAATATTTACTAAGCACCTAATATGTATAGATGTGTAGATGGAGTGCTGGTCCTGGACAATTACTAGCTGTATGACCCTGGGAAAGTCACTTAATCCTGTTTGCCTCAGTTTCCTCATCTGTAAAATGAGCTGGAGAAGGAAATGGCAAGCCACTCCAAGATCTTTGCCAAGAAAAACCCACATGGGGTCATAAAGAGTGGGCCATGGCTGGAAAATGACTAAACAACAACAAATGTGTACGGGGCACTGTGCTGGAGGTGGGGAAGGGGTGGTGTGGATATGTGATTTAGACACTTTAGGGATCCAGAGACATCTAGTCCACCACCATCATTTTTACGGGAGAGCAAACTGAGGTTCAGAGAAGTTACTTGAGTTGCCCAAAGCCAGATGTATTAAGTGGCAGTTGAAATTTGAATCTAGGTCATCTGACTTCAAATCCAGTATCCCCCTCCCCCCTGCCCCAATACATTATGAGCAAAGGGGAGGGCGGGGTAGGGAAAACCTGTATAGACGCTCGAAACAGCTCAATTTGAGAGTAGCAAGGCATTTCATTGCGAACTATTATTACTCCTTTAGTTTAAAGCTTGATCCTATAAAATGGAAGTCCCTTTGGAGAAAGAACACTTTAAGCTATGTGATTTATATCTTAGAATAAATGTTTCACAGTCTTTCTAGAAAGCAGGATTTGATAGGAGGAAGGAAGAGTAAAGGAATCAGGACATGAAAGGAAAAACTTCCTAGGTTTTGCTTAGGGCACAGAGAGAAGGTTCATTTCAAGATTCTGGACTGAAAGTCTCATGAAATGTTGGGGAAAAGACTCTTCCCAAAGATCTCTCATTAGCTTTCTTCCTTGTCTTCTCTGGTTATCCTGCAAAATATGAAGGGAATTTAAGCACATTTAAGTCTCAGGTACTGGTCAATAATTCGTCCATACTTCTATCCTTTGATTTGTATACTCCTGCCAGTGATATAGATTGCAACCCTTTTAGGTGTTCTCATGTGTGATTCTTGTAATCCACAGGGCGTCCATCTAACAAATGTAAGGAGCTTGCCTTTATTCCACTTGACCTTTGGTGGATGCCAGTGTAGCATGTGGGCTGTCCATTCTCTCTCCCTCTTGCTCCATGACTTGCCCACCTCATTCTCTGGTTGTATATTTCTGATTCTATCCTTCACACTATTTCTCCTGTTCATTTCATTATTGGTAATGTGTTTTAGCCCATTGGTGATGCTTATTATTGCTTTCTGGATGACTTTCATCTTTAATCTTTTGGAAACTCTAGTATACCATGATGTACAGCCATGTAAGCATCAACAGAGGCAGCTGGGTGGCTCAGCGGATTGAGCGCTCAAGAGTGAGGAAGACTTTTCTGGCCTTAGACACTTAATAGCTGTGTAACTCTGTTTGCCTCAGTTTCCTTATCTGGAAAATAAATTGGAGAAGGAAATGGCAAACCACTACAGTATCTTTGCCAAGAAAACCCCAAATGGGATCACAAAAAGTTGGATATGACTGAAAGCATCACCAGAAAAACTTGATGCAAAACCCAATGGGTCTTAATTGGGGAATGGCTGAACAAATTATGATATTTGAATAAAATGGAATACTATCAAAAGTAAGAAATGATAAAAGGAATGGTTTCAGAGAAAACTGGAAAGACTTGTATGAACTGATGTAGAGTGAAGTGAGCAGAACTAGAAAAACACTTTATACAATAACAACAACATTGTACAAAGGAACAACTTTGAAAGACTTCAGTTCAATTTAATAAACATTTATTAAGCAACTACTATGTGCCAGGCACTTTGTCAAGTGCTGGAGATATAAAAAGAAGCAAAAGATGGTCCCTACTCTCAAGGAGCTTACATTCTAATGGGGAAGACAACATACAAATAAGTATAATACAAAGCAAACTATATACAGGATAAATAGGAAATAATTAGCAGAGGAAAGGCACTGGAATTAAAAGGGGTTGGGGAAGGCTTCCTATAGGAGGTGAGATTTTGGTTGAAATTTAGAAGAAGCCAGGGAGGTCAGTAGTTGGAGTGGAGGACGGAGAACATTCCAGGCATGGGGGACAACCAAGAAAGAATGCCTGGAGCCATGAGACTTAAGAACTTTGATTAATGTAATGAACAATTCATGATCCCAGAGGACCCATAATGAAAGATGCTACCTATCTCCTGAAAGAGAATCAAGATGCAGAATAAGACACACATTTTTGTATACGACCCATGTGGGAATTTTTGCTTTACTATGCATATTTTTGTGAGAGTTTTCTTTTTCTTCTCCCACTGATGGTAGAAACAACAGAGAAAATGAATGCTTATTAATTGAAAAAATAACAATTTGAAAAATAAAAAAGGCAGATCTTTGTTTCAGGGAGAATCTTAAGGTCCTTAAAAGTGCTACAGTTTCAAAAAAAAAAGGGCAATCTAGCTTGCTTGCCCCTTCTTAATTTAATTTTGAACACATTTCATTGTCTTGCCATGTCATCCAAAATATACATACTTATGGATGATACTTTATGGGCTATCCATTCATCTGTAGCTTTCACAACAGGTATTCTTCATCCACTTGTTTTTTTCTGCATGGATAGTTAGATGAGATTCTTTTGAATGATTAATAAGGATCTGAAATGTTTGATACTCAATTCAATCATACAACGTTATTCACAAACAGAATCATGTGCAAAACTTTACTATATACAGGGAATCCCTCTTCCATGTGTGTCTGGACTGCATATCTTCCATGACAGTAGAAAATATCCTTGATGGAATATCTCCATTTCATGATTCTTTTGACATTAGAAACCAGAGGATCATTGAACAGAGCTATCTCTGTTTTAACTTCTTTCAAGGAATGTGAGATGTCTTGTTGGAGAAGAGCTGGAAAGTTTTCTCCCTTTAATTCTTGCACAAGATGGGGGGAGGAACTGGGAAGCTAGACCAGCCATCTAAAAAGCACAGCTCTTCCCAGGGTTCTTGGCCTCAGGGTTCTATACTTTCTCTGTTGGGATCTGAGGAAAGGTGGTGGCAATAGTTTGACCCATCTGACACATGCCACCTCCTGTCTTTCCCTGAAGGTGCCATACTGTTTCATCTAGGCTGGCTTGCCTGCACCACTGGTGGAACTTGGTTGGCAAGGGGTGGGAATAGCTGGCCCTTTCTCCATATAGGTTGCTCTTCTGAATGATGGTTGATGCAATGGAGCTATATAGTTCTTCTTACTTAGTTTCAGGACTGAAAACAAAAGAAAGCAAGAAGCAATTAAAATTACATAGGTACACAGGAGACTAGCCAATATGTATGAACATGAGTCTTCCTGGAAATTCTGTCTCTAAGTTGCCTAGCCAGTTTCAGGAAGATGGCCTTGGGTTGTTCTTGCAGGTGAAGATCAAAGGCCTGTGATAGAGCTGCTTATAACTTTTAGTAAGAGCAGTCAACATCCTTTATACTAAGATCTCAACAAGAGGGAAAAGGTTGTTTAAAAATTAAATATAGATAGGTATAAAGGTATTTATGCATAAATATTTTTCTAGAAAGCAATATCAATTCATGTACATTTCCCAGAGGAAGGATGTCACTTGCAGTTCCAAATTTTGTGAAGCAAACATATAGAGAAACACATCAGAAGAAAGGGCAGAGGAACCACACAGTAGATTCTATGAAATGAATCAAGGAAGTCATAGTTTCGCAATTATTCTTATCAAGTTTTGCAGAGATGGGAAAGCAAGCACATGAGCCAGAAGTTAGTGACATTTTCTTAGTTCTCCTTTCTTAAGAAATTATTAATTATAAAGTCCATGCACTAATGAACTTGTGAGCTGATCTAACCATTCTGGAGAGTAATTTGGAACTATGGTCAAAGGGCTATAAAACTATGCATACCTTTGATCCAGCAATACCTCTACTAGGTCTATATCCTAAAGACATAAAAAAAGGGGGGTTGGGGAAGGACCTATTTGTACAAAAATATTTATGGCAGCTCTTTTTGTGGTGGCCAAGAGTTGGAAATCAAAGGGATGCCCATCAATTGGGGAATGGCTAAACAAGCTGTGGTATATGATTGTAATGGAATATTCTTGTGCTATAAGAAATGACCAGCAGGATGGTTTCAGAAAAACCTGGAAAGACTTGCATGAACCGACAGAAAGTGAAGAGAGCAGAACCTGGAGACTGTTGTACACAGTAATAGCAATATTGTACAATGAAAAATTGTGAATGACTTAGCTATTCTCGGCAATACAATGATCTTCTTTTCCCCCCTACGCTATGGGGTTAAGTGACTTGCCCAGGGTCATACAGCTAGTGAGTGCTATGTATCCCAGGTCAAATTTGAACTCAGATCCTCCTGACTCCAGGGCCAGTGCTCTATCCACTGTGCCACCTCGCTGCCCCAGCAATGTAATGATTTAAAACAATACTTACGGATTCATGATGAAGCATACTATCTGCCTCCAGAGAAAGAACTGATATTGTCTGAATACAGACCAAAGGATGCTGTTTTTCACTTTCTCTCATTCTTCTTCTTGTACAAAATGACCAATATGGAAATATTTTACATGATTGCACATATATAACCTATATCTGATTGTTTACCATCTCAAGGAGGGTGCAGGGAAGAGAGGAAAGGAGGGATAGAATTTGAAACTCAAAACTTTTTTAAAGAAAGTTAAAAATTATTTTAACATGTAATTGGGGAAAATAAAATATTGTATATAGTAGGAAAAATAATAAAGCCCATGATTTTTTCCATATATTGGGTAGGATCCTTCCCACTTTCAGAAATCTTGAAAAAAATCAGTCTTTCAAGGCCTTCAAAATAATGCAGGTTTTAGCATAGAATTTTTATGCTTATTTGATTTAGTCCTGCTGCTGTTCCCATTTTTTTCCCCTTATGAGATAGGTGGTAGATTCTGATATTTAAAGCCAAACATCAGTCAAGTCAGTCAACAATCATTTGTCAAGTGTCTACTTTGTGTCAGTACTATGCTAAGCACTAGGGATACAAAGAAAAGGAACTCACATTCTAATGGGGCAGACAACATGTGAACAGCTATAAGGTTGCAAATAACTCCAAATAAATTGGTTCTCTGACTAATTTATCATAACTAGTTGAATCTGGCCTCTGAATGTGAGCCATGGTGGGCTTCACAGGTAAAAATCACACACATATAATCTCTACTTGGAAAAAATTGTTGGAGATCAAAGTAATCTGAAATCCAAATCATTGGAGGATATGTCTATGTGCTCTCCATACAACTTGCTGCCAGATGTAATCCCTTTACATTTTTTTCTGTGCCTGGCAGAAACTGGGATTTTAATTTTTAAATATATCTACTGATTCAGCTAAAAGAAAAATGACCTTCATGGTTGGGAAAGGGCAATAAAAAAGCAATAAATCTCACCAGGAATTTAGTTTTGTTACTTTTTATAGACAAAAATAGTCTTTTGTTGGTAAAGGACTGAGAACCTTAGCTGCTAGGCAAAAAAGAACAAAATGACTAGAGGGATGGCAGGGTTTGTGATGGAGTTAATGGTGCTACTTACAGGTGCACAGTGTTCCTTCTACTCCTGATGCCTCAATCTACTCTTCTGGCAGTACATCTGACATCACCTGTCAAAAGAAAGCTGGCATTTACCATTTACTGAAAATGCTGAGGAAGCCTCATCATTGTCAACTGACAAAATGGTTGTGGTACCTTGCTGTATCTGGCCTTACTCAGCCTCTGACTTCTGACTGGTGGAATGTTACCAAAGAAAGAGCATGACAAATTTCCTAAGGTTACCCGATTTATGTTCTTGGAATGTTCTTTCTCCGCCCTCTCTCCCTTGATCAATAATAACTAATGAGTTAGAAATATTGTACAGACTTTGATGCATGTATCACCCATCTCTCTACTGGGTGTTATTATCTACTCATTTCTGTATCCACTTCACTGTCTAGCATAATATTTTATATAGGGTAATTCACTAAATAAATGAACTGACAGAAATTTAAGACAATATTTTTAAGGGCAGGGCTGAATTGCTGTAACCATATAGTGGCTAAGATTGAATTTTCAGTCACCAAAATAGACATGGTGACTCATAATTTTTAAACTTTGTACTTAGGGATATATCTCTCATTTCCCTGTACTCCCAAAGTTCTAGAGAAACAGTCCTCATCTCTGCACCAGGAACATATATCATTGTAGAACCTGTGACCAGTGTTTCTGTTGACTCCATATGTGCAGTCACACTTCTGGAGTGACCAGATTTGCTAATTTCCAATGAATTGTCTTTGTCCATTAAAAAATATATGTATGTGGAGAGAACTCTTTCCCTGGCTTCGGATTAGCAACTCGTGTGTAATTTGTATTCTTAGAGGGTTCCTTAGGTTACTGGAAACCTGAGTGCTTATTCAAGGACATGTAGCATGAGTGTTAGAAGTGGAATTAAATCTAAGTTTTCCTGACTCTGAGGTTGGCCCTCCATCCATTACAATTCCAAGTTGCCTCTCAGGTCTGGTATTATTATTATTATTCAATTTGAATAAAATCATATAGATCATTAAAGCCAAAGTTATTGTATAAATCTATAAAGAATGAGCCTCTCATCCAGCATGCCTGGAAAAGGAAGCTCAAATAATACAGCTGAATTAAAATGTAGAAAATTTTCAAAAACCTTATTGCTAAACTATTTTAACTTTTTGTTAGACTTAATGACTTCTTTATAGCCAAGTGGATCTTAGGGTTTTTTTTTTTTTAAAGACTACATTAGGAATGGGGGGGGCATGGAGGAGAGAAGGGAGGACGGAATATACATTGTACTGATGTGAAATTCACTCTGGGACTTATTTTTTTGGTTTTAACCCACTGAGAGTTCCAAGGATACACCTGTCATCTTTCCAATCTGATAGCCCTGAGTGTAAAAAAAAGAATCAGCATCCCAAATTCTTCACACAGATGCCAAAGTAATTTTCCTAAAGTACATACTTGAAGAAGTCACTGCCTGCTCAAAAATCATCTTATGCTTCCCCATTCCTCCTAGAATAAAATGCAAACTCTTTCACCAGGTATTAAAGACACTCCACATTCTCATTCTAGCCTATCTTTCCAACGCTATTTCACATTACTGCCCTCTCTGTATCCTATGTGTACTAGCTAGAATGGACTACTCCTGCCTTTGACCACATGCTGTGTCTCCTGTTCATTCTTGGGGACTAGTTCCTCAGGCCGGGCATTCAGGCCCCTTTCATTTCCATCTTTCATAATGTTCTCCTCTTTCAAGACTTAGCTCAGGTGATACCTCCTCTGTGAAGCTTTCCTTAATTCTTCTCTACCCCTCCACCAACTGTTCCCTTTTCCTAAAGGAAGCACTTTGTCTTGATTTCTTCCTTATCTCATAGCACTAGCTGGTTTTATAATTATTTGAATATACGATGAATCCTCCCTAGTAAGCTCCTTAGGGGTAGAGGTGTGTGTGTGTGTGTGTGTGTGTGTGTGTGTGTGTGTGTGTGTGTTTTAATCTTTGTATCTCAATTTATCCTAGTGTTTTGGATACATATTTCTTTACCTCAGTTTGAATTCCAATTGCTTCATGTTGCTTGAGTGTGAAGGGAACTTTGTACAGGACCTCGAATTTATAGTATAGAATCAGGAAAAGAAGAAAAAGTGAAAGAAGAAACTTAGGTGTGGAGGGAGGGGAGAGAGGATTGCTTCATTCAACGTACTGGTGTCCTTTCTTTTCTGAGTGTAAGCCATTGGAACACAAATGTACCTGTAATCAAGAAGAGAAGTGGTTAATCAAAGTAACCAGACCTCACTACAGAACTTGAGAAGTCTTGAACAGCTGTTGTAACAGGTCACTTTGAATTGGAAACCGATCAGTTTTCGAGCAAAGACGCAGTTCATGACAGGAATGAGATTTTAACAAGATTTAAAGATATAAGATAAGTAAGACGGAGCAAATTGAAGGCTGAGCACAAACATCGAAAGGAAAGACCTTAACAGTAACATTGCATTGCAGGGAATAACCAACTCAAAAAAAAAAAGGCAATGTTTGGAACACTGAAGCAACCAAGGAGATAAGAAATCAGTGACAGCAAAAAAAGGAAAGAGGCTAAACGCTGGAAGACAACCACCTACCTCCCGGGGGCGGAGTCTTGCCCCAGGACACACCCTCGAAGTCAAACTGAGCCCAAGTTCCGGCTTTGACAACCTGCTCTAGTGACTGACCAGAACCCTGGGAGGTAGAGACTGGAGGCTCTCCCGCACACACCCGCACTGAGACCACTCAGACTCCCCACTGCAGCCTCTCCGACTGCCTGCTAAGCTCAGGACTTCTCTTACCCTAAGGACATCTACCCCTCCGACCCAATCATGGCTGACAAGTCTTTGTTCGACACCGATGTCAGCACCCTGACCCGTTTCGTCATGGAGGAGGGCAGGAAAGCCAAGGGCACTGGCGAGATGACCCAGTTGCTAAACAGCCTTTGCACCGCTGTCAAAGCCATCTCCTCTGCGGTGCGGAAAGCAGGCATAGCCAATCTGTGAGTGTTTACTTCCTGCCCTCCCTTCGCAAGCTCCCCTCCCTCCTTCCCTTTCTGAGGCAGCCCCCAGCCCCAGTCACTCATTCAGCACCCCATTTTAACCCCGTGGTCCTAGATTCCTTTATTTCCCGCCGTGATAGCGTTTCCCTCCACCTTCTCGCAGGGCTCACCATTCAGGGCCAGCCCAGCGGTGCCGATTTGTGGCACGGATTGTTTAAACTCTCAAATTCTCGCGTGCAGTCAGTTTCATTCAATTGGCAGAAAAATTCCTGGCTGTATGGCAGGAGTTGTTCTGAAGTTCATAGCTTTAAAGGATCGGGCATTTTGGTCCGAAAGGAAATTTAGAGTTCATCATTCTACAGATGAGACAACTGAGTGTAGACAGGATAAGTGACTTATGCAAGACCACGCAGAACTGAGATTCCAACCGATTTTATGACTTCAAATCTGACGCTCTCCCATTGACACACTGATTTGTCAGTGAGAGGCAAGTAGATTAAAATACCCTATTGTAGTCTGAGTGGAAATTATAAGGGATGAAGGGTTAGAAAGTTTGTGTTTTCCCCTGGAAGTGTGGCTTTTGGGTCACAATTGTGTTTGTAGGAGAGATGGGTGCTGAAAGGGACCTAAGGTCTTCTAATCTAACCCCCTCTTTTTACAGGTGAATCATACTGAGGCCCAGAAAGGTTCACACAGAGAGTTAGTAGGTGGGATCTTTCAAAGCTATATTCTCTGACTCTTTTTTGATGTTGCATTTCAAGATTTTTTGTGAGAAATTAGTGGATGCATGCTTGAGGCAGAAAAAGAATCTAACTGTGCTCACTGCATTATGTTACAGGAATGCCTTTGAGGGTAAGGCTGTTTATCCATCAGTAAACATTTATTAAGCACCTTCTATGTGCCAGACACTGTGGTAAGCACTGTTATATGCATCAGATCTTTCCCTTGTCATTGATAGCATTATTACTCAAAATAAAGCTCAATGTAAACTTGTACGGTCAAAAATCCAACTATAAGTGGGCAATGACAATTGCTGTTACTATTTTAAGCAGCTGTTGCCTTGTTAAGCAATTGGTGCTTTTGTAAATATTATTTTGAAGGAGCTAGGGGAACTTGTAAACATCTCCTACTATAAGTCCTTTCAAATAATCACCCTCAAATTTCTCTTACGTGTAAATCCAAATTTTTGTATACTGGCTTGACTTAATGTGAGACATACCAATATACGTCTTTCAAATATGTCAAACAGACTCACCCAAACTTTGCTAAACATTTCTCATAGTTTTTAGAACCAAAAGGGACCTCAGAGTTGGTCTAGACCAGCCCTTTCATTTTACATTTGAGGAAAGATTTGCTTAAGATCATGAAGTTTGTAAGCAGAAGACCCAGAATTTGAACCTAGGTCTAAGACTCAAAAAACCAAACCTTTTCTCACTGTGTTAGTCTGTCTATCACACTACCTGGCAGGTGACAGCAGTAAGCATTATTTATCTGAGGACAACCCTTGAGCTTCAGAATGGTTTTCAGTCATGCTTCTAGTCCTAAAGAATGTGTAGTAGCTACTCAGACCTAAAAAGGAGTGTTTCTCATGTTCTGAACTGTCTTTCATAAATGACAAGAAAAGAAGGGCCTCCCTGGACACAAGACTGAAGGGAGAGAGATCAGTCTCTCTTTTCTTTATCACCACTTAAACTTTGACCTCAGTAGTCTTTATTTATTTGTTCATTCATTTATTTATTGGCAGTTAGGGTTAAGTGTCTTGCCTAGGGTCACACAGCTAGTGAGTATCAAGTGTTTGGTCTGAGGTCACATTTGAACTCAGGTCCTCCTGACTTCTGGGCCGGTGCTCTATCCACTGAGCTACCTTGGTGCCCCTTTGGTAGTCTTTAAAATCTACTTCTAATCATTCATCACTTTAGGTAACATTGCACAGTTAATCTTTTTACTTAAGATTTAGGGAAAAGTACTGGACCTATCATTTCACTAACATATCGAACTTTTGGGTTCAAGTTCCCCCAAAGACTTATACTTGCTGTGGGACTCTTGGATGTCATTTAACTTCTCAACGCTCTAGGCAAACTGTCTACCTAAAAGAATGAGTATTCCTTTGTCATTTATTATTTCCAAACCATTATTGTTTTATTTGTTCTGCACAATTAACATCCCTGTGAGGCAGACAATGCTAATATTATGCCCATTTTATAGATGAGGAAATGAGGCTTTGAGAGTTGCTCAAGGTCATAAAGTTATTAAGAAACAAATCTTCTACCTACAGACATAGGACCCAATAATTTTCCCACTATAACACAGTAGCAGGTGGAATAAGAACTACATCTTAATGGCAGGGCACTTTGAAATTAAGGATGCTTTTCATTTGAAAAACAAACAAACAAACAACAAACCAGTTAACTCCTTAGGTCTCTAAAGGACTCAGAAATATATCTATATCTGTTTTGCTTTTTGGACTCTGCCCCTCTAACTCCAGAGTTTTCTAGACTTTTATCTATAGCTTAGAAAATAAAATGCTTCTCTCTCTCTCTCTCTCTCTCTCCCTCTCCTCTCTCAAAAGTTGCATTTTCCATTTGAATGAAATAAATACTTGCTTCAGTTCTTTGTTCCACTTTGACTTTGACTGTGGAGAGCCAGCCGAGGAACTGGTCTGGCTTTTGCTTACAAAATCCACCTGGCAGATTTTTAGAACAGATAGAATCACCTATTAACAATAATTTTGTTGTTTAGTCATTTTTCAGTTGTGTCCAACTCTTTGTGACCCCTTTTGGGGTTTCCTTGGCAAGATGCTGGAGTGTTTTGCCATTTCCTTCTTCAGCTCATTTTACAGATGAGGAAACTGAGGCAAACAGGGTTAAGTGACTTGCTCAGGGTCACAGAGATAGTAAATGTTAATAATAATAGCTGACATTTATATGTCTTAAGATTTGCAAAAAGCTTTGTATTTTTTATCTTGTTTGTGCCTCACAATTACCTTGTGTGTACCCCAATTTATTATAGAGTCTGTTCTAAGAAAGAAACAAATGAGATTAGAGTGTTTGTGTGTGCACAGTTTAATTTCTCTCAAGCTTGCAATGCTCCCAATGCTCCCAATGCTCCCATGCTTACCACTGCCAGGCTTGCATGGTAGTTCAGTCCAAACCTGGGCCCACCCTAAGGGGGCCAGTTCAGAATTGGCTTGATTTGGGATTTTCAACAGAGGCTCATATCAACCCACCATCATTCTACCAGACCACTCCCAGCCTCCGTCTATCTGGGTATCTGTCTCCACCCAAGCCTGAGTAGGATAAAATCAGTTCAGGTTTGGGTCAGTTTTGACCAGGAGAAGAAGATTCAATGCAGTCTCATTATGAGTGATGTCCTTCTGAAGAACTTTGAAGCAGAAGGCTGGAAGGTGGAGCTCTGAATCTCCAAGACACAGATTACCAAGAGAAATTATTTTTCACACTTGTAAGGAACACATGACAATATTAACCCCATTTTACAGACGAAGAAGCTGAGATTCTCAGGTGCTAAGTGACTTGCCCATGATTACATAGCTAGCAAGTATCAGAAGAAGGATTAGAACACTGGTCTCCTTGGCCCAAGTCCCATACAATATACACTATATCTATACACTAGTCCAGTAAATAAAAATACAATAAAACATGGATGACATCACATTTTGAAACTGAGTGAACATGCACCAAGGGGATCCTTATGTATGTGGCCCGCTCCCAGTTTTCTGTTTGAGTTTGACACCACTACCATTAGACCATCTTGCTGCTGCTGATTACTCATTAATTGTCACTAATTAATGGTGACTAAGAATGATTTTGCTTTATAACCAGAATCTGAGTTTTTCCCTTTGAACTGTAAGATTATGAGAAAAATGAGAACTTTGCTTCTCTCTTTCTTGGATTCAACATGCTAGAGTAAGACAAGGCCATAGAACTTGCCTCAGAATAATAAGATAAAATTTTTTAAAAAATATTTTTTAAGTTCACGGGGCAGTTAGGTGGCTCAGTGGATAGAGCACTGGCTCTGAAGTCAGGAGTACCTGAGTTCAAATCCGGCCTCAGACCAAACACTTGGCACTTACTAGCTGTGTGATGCTGGGCAAGTCACTTAACCCCAGTTGCCTAAAAAAAAAAGAAAAAAATATTTTTTAAGTTCTTGGATGAAAAATAATTTAAATGGAAAGAGTTTACCACTAGTAGGAAGTTATCACCCTATTGATTGTGACAATAATAATAATCTTAGCTAACATTTATGTGGGGCAGCCAGGTGGCTCAGTGGATAAAGTGTAGAGCCTGGGGTCAGGAAGACCTGAATTCAAATTCAGCCGCAGACACTTACTAGCTGTGTGATCTTGGGCAAGTCACTTAACCTTGTTTGTCTCAGTTTCCTCATCTGTAAAATGAGCTGGAGATGGAAATGGCAAAACACTCCAGTATTTCTGCCAAGAAAACCCCAAATGGAGTCATGAAGTGTCAGAAAGCGCTGATCAACAATAGCAACAGAGCATGGATTTTGGAGT